TTCTTCAAATTTTGTGTGCTTGTTGCCAACTTAGTTTTTGAAAGGTGTGTAAAATCTTAAGCAAGATCAACAATATAATTGATAGATATTGAAGTTTTAAATTACCCAATGGCTAAATTAATTTGATTAGGATTTCATTTGGGATTTAAAAATTGGTTAGGAATTAGGCTTTTTTTAGGATTTAGTTAGGCAATGACTTAGGATTTAAGTAAAAGATATTAGAATTTTAATTAGGATTAAAATAATATTTGTTTAAAATTTATTTAAAATATATTTTGGATTTTATTTTAATACTTTTTTTGAATTTCTTTAGGATTTTTTCATGCTTCTTTGATAATTTCTTTGAGGTTTCTTTGAATTAATTAAAGCTTGAGTAGAATTCTTAAGATTTAATTAGAAATATTTAGGATTCTATTAGAATTAGAATCTTGTTGTTACAATACTCCTTTTGCCTTCTATAGCTACGTTTTTGGTGTATTTTCAAGCAAGGCTTCACATAGTACAATGACAGATGTCCATTACAAAAAGCAACCTCAATTCCATGTTAGCAACATGATATATTTATTTTATCACAATTTCAAAAATAGCCACCCTTGCGACAAGTTGGACTATGATAAGCTTCAAGCACTTTTTATTTGTGAATAAATCAATTCAATTGCTTATCAATTATATCTATTGGACTCTATGAAGCTCCATCCAATATTCTATATGTCTCTTCTTGAACCATATAAGAAATTTAATATTTTGACATGAAGGTAAATGCCACCACCTCTTATAGAAGTAGATAATAAATAAAAATTTGAGCTAGAAGAAGTCTTAGAATTAAGGTGGCACTAAAATAGATTAGACTATCTTGTTCATTGATGCAGATATAATATATGAAAGCTTCCTAAGAATCTTATAAATGTAATAAAGAATGTTGATACTATTTATTGATAATATCTATCAAAATCAAGTTAAAGATTAATAAATCTTTAGTATAAAAGAAATAAAATCCATTGAAAAAAGTATTATACTTTCTATCCCTTAT